TCCCCCCCATCCTTTTTAGACCAGATTACACACCACTGTAATCAACAAATATACTCGACTGAAATAGCTAATGCAGTAAATTGTTACTGAGGTTAGAAATAAATGATGTAATACCCTTATGATTCATAATTGTTGTGTCATTTATACTTTTCCTTTTTGCTGTTTGAGCAGTTGGTGACCCACAACCCCCCGCATTCCTGCCTGAGGTTGGATATACAGCCCCCGGGGAAACAAACATTTATAACAAAATTAAAAATTTATTAAAAGGGGGAGGAAAAAAAAGAGGAAAGCTGAGTCGCTTATTAAACACCAAAATGTATGTTGTTTGTGTTTCCTTTGTTTTTTTTTTTTTTTTTGGTTTTTTTTGTCTTTTGAGATGCAACATTATTATAAGACTCTATTCACAAATACATGTATTACTGTTACATAGTCATAGTTTCCTTTCTTTCATGTGGTTTGTGCATTAAATATAAGGAAAGCCGAATGAAAAATGTGTAGTTTTAGTACTCTTCACTGATAGTTTGAAGAATATTTACCTGTCACTCAAATGGAAAGATTGTCATACATTGTCGTATCTTTTCTGGGCCTATAACTTTAAACTGTTTGGCTTCCAAAATCTTTTCTTCCGGAGGCCAGAATGTATAACTATTTACTCGTCACACAATGCTGAAACGGACTCCTTCGAACAGAGAAAAAAAAAACAAAGGAGCCATAACAATGCCAGTGTAACTTTTGTCCCAAATATCTACGTAACAACGAACAAATTTGAACACCGGAAATATGATATAGCCAAACACTTTCTTCAAACCCTCGAATCTCCTGGGTACCTTCAAGGGAAAAACTGGTGTTTGGAATCTAACCTTATTCTTTTTTCTCTGAGTACCAACCCAGGAGATTTTTTGGAAATTTGAAATGATTAACGCGGGAAATTCTCCAAATTATTGTTATTTAGCATCTCAAAACAACATTTAAGAGAAACAGCTCCCCAAAATCTTCAAATATTTTGGGAATTTCCCGATTTCCAAGAAACCGGGAAAATCCCCAATGGAAAACATGGAGGGTCCCCAGAGGGGCCAATTTCTCCAATGTTGGCCAAATAGGCTGCGTTCGTTCTCACTTCATTTGTTGCAAAATTGCTCCTTATATCATTCTTTCCCCCACGACTCAGCCAAAAACAAAACTCCTTTCAAGTCTGTCCAAAATCTGTACGTAGTTTGGTAGGCCTATAAACAATACTTGAAAGGCCACTTTAATCATCCATGGCTTAGCGATGACCTCGAAGCACAATCACTTCACCCACACTCGCTTTGCTTGTGTCTAATATCCAAAGCGAAACACGATATAGTCAACGGCAATCACTGTATGTCTCACTGGGCAAGTTTCAAAGGGAAAACGAGTTAATCTGCCCGAATCAAGTGGTAATTGTTGTTGTAATTTTGTAATGCGCCGTCCATTAAATATTAAACGGCGCACCGTTTTCCAAATTAAGGTAGCCGTTAACCTATATAGCGCTCACCTGATTCAAGCGACCGCATATTAGGCCGCGGTCGTGGAATTATATCGACACTCCGCAAGCCCGCTCACTCGGTTTCAAAATTGAAAATTAAATTTAATAAAAAATTTAGATAGCTCGTGAGACAGCATGAACACAAAATCTTGTAGCCTTTGTCGCAAACCCAAATTTTTGTCAGATTTGAAAATCTTTAAGAAGGAATCAATAAAATGCTTGCTGATGCGTAAAATGTTTATATCGACGCCGACCTCTATGGCCGTACGGTATGAAAAAAAATGTGACGAGTGCAGAAAGGAATTATCTTGCAAACACAGAAAACATATAGGTCTACTTGTTATTATTCACTCCGAGGTTGTATGTCAACATCAGCTAAACAAGTACAGATGGGCCTGTTGTAAAACCTCGTGTGAAAAACAGTGAGATTTATTGAACACGAAGGGTATGGCGGCTTACACCAACAAGCAGAGTTTAAAAAGCTACAGAACTAATATAGCAACAAAAATAAAAACAATAAGAAACTACAACAACTATATGATGAAAAATGTAAGATGTGAGAACATGGAATCTCTGAGATAAACTAGAGGATGGTTTTGAAAAAGATGAAATGTGTAATATTTATGGTTCTAACGATGAATGTTGTTATTTGATATACCATGAAAATTTACGGGACAAAATGGAAGAACTCGAACTGGAGATATACACACTCAAATTTAAAAGATTCTGTCTTAAATGATTCAGCGAAAAATAATAAATATATTGGGTAATGTTAATTTAGAAGTGAGTCACTTGAAAAACTTGAAAGAAAAATAAAATTCCTTAAAAAATGAGAATACTTAGTTTCATTGTAGAAAGGGGGCATGGCCAGACCATTAGCTATAAACTCTGGCAGATTGCGTATAGATCTACGCTTGAAGAGTATGTTAACCTAAACAAATGTACCACCACCGAACCAACCATGTTATAATCACAATTTGTCTTGAGGTTCGGGGGAGGGACATTGAAACGACAACAGCTTTTTACATCAATATCACTAGGTAGGCCTACAAACCCGTAATGGGTAATCTGTACATAGATTTACCAGGAGACCTCAAAAATAAGTGCATGGGCAATCATTAATCTTCAAAATGAAGACCAAGAATGTATCAGACGGTGTCTTAGAGCGGCACTGGGGATCAACACCCACAACGTGAAGGAAAATATTGAAGCTAATTCTAATTATAGGACAAACAGAGAGAAAACGGACTTATGTCACTCACGACGGCTAATCTTTCAAAATGTCGATTTTCCTACTCCACTCGATCAAGTACGACGAATAGAAAACCAGAATAACTTAGAAATGAATGTGTTTGGATACCTACCACCTGGATTTGCGAAAGAAAAGAAAGGAAAGAGCATTGGGGTTTACACAAAAGCCCTGGATACAGTCGTACATCGATTTTAAAAACAATACCTAGTTGCGAACCAAAGCTATATCAGATTTTTAGAAAGACTTTTTTAAACTAATGAACAAAAGCGTAAAACGATGGAAAACACCAGAAATCTAATAAACAGACATCTGTTTAGGCCTCTAGGAATAAGTTGCAAGAATACAAACACAGTATGCTAACTCCTTGTACTGCTCAGTCTATTTCTTTTACACCTACATGTAAAATGTTTATTTCTAAGTCCTGTGCAAAATTACAGTCAATGATAATTTTTTTTCTCTATGTACAAGATCAGGGGACACGTTTTCTGTTAGTAAATTACGCTTTGATTTCATACTACATGTATCCTCACATAAAGGAGAACAACCGATAATTTAACTCTTTACTCACCAAAAGCTTGTTGGTGATTACAGTTTTATCATAGCTCTCAGGAATATTCTCACGGTAGTTTTGTCCTTAGCGAATGTTTGGACAGAAACAGTTCAAAAGAAACGGTGGATAACAGTTTTTGGCTCCAACATTAGATTTTTCCAGTTTTGTATCCATTTTGAAAAAAGTGTCACTGAATAAAGGTTTTCTCTGTTTCTGTTCAAATGTATGCACAAAACTTCAATTTCAGAAAAGTCAGTCGAGATTGTGATGGCAGTTTCACCAAGCTTTTAATGCGGGAAACGCGACCAAATTTCGATGAATTCGCAATGGTGCTTATTATGAACGTTTTTGCATGCATCTCTCAAAATGTATAACACTTAGCATGCAGCCCCATTCTTTTGAAGTTAAGAACAAATGTACGCTTCCTTGTGATGTAAACTCTTTAAATGAACAAGTGCCGCAATTCTATGCTACATGCCTACTAGAGATATGACAGCCAGAAATTTTAGAGGCACCAATCTGATGCTACTCAATCTGGCAAAGTGAGTTCGAAGTTACAAGAGCCATCTTTGATTGAAGGCGTTTTAAGGAATCTACAGGAGCTGTCTTTATTTCTTCGCCCACATAATGTCCATTTCCGTCAGGAAGTCAAACTTGGTGATCAATTAACCAACCCTCTTCATGTTCCCTCACGTAATGTCCATTTTCATCAGGGATCCGAAGTAAGCGGAACTGGTAGAGCTGTTATGACTCAGTAATTCGACTGTAGTCCCAATTCTCGGCGACTCGAGTCCCGACAGGTAAATGACTCGATTCAACTCAAGTCACTCCGAGCAAATTACTCGTCCCGAGTCGAATCCCTATCGTCCGGAGACCCAATTCGAGTGAAAGTTAATAAGACTCGAGTCCCATAAATAAAAGCAAACTATACTTGGTGAAAAAATATCTGTAGAGAATATGCCGGTTCATAATATTCACGTCACGTGTTATTAGTAACCCGGAGGTAAATTTCAAAATGCCCAAAAAATTACTTTCTCTCTTGTATTACGGTATTGTGTTAATATGTGACTCGAACTGACTCGAGCAAAATACCTGACTCAATGCGACTTATTTGCCTAACGACTCAAGTCTACTCAAGTCACTACGTTATAATAACTCGACTTGACTCGACTAGAGTCACAAAAACTAGTGACTCGTTACAACTCTGAGAACCAGAAGATAACACACAACTTGAGTGTTCATTCAACGAGCGTGTTCTAATCACTGGAGGAGCTCGTGTAAGAAGGAGCTACTTATAATTAAGAAACACAAAAAATAACTTATATCTAGATCAAGGTGCAAGTCATGACAAAGCTGTGAGATGGACAATCCTACTTTACAACAAAATTTACGAGCATACGCAGTTTGTTTGAAGGTAGCAAGGAAATGAACAGTGACCGAGTATAGTTATGCCATCATGCTTACGCTCTGCACAGGTTTTAGCACTTCATTTTCTTGATTGTCACCCGTTGCTTCCCTCGACGGCTAAATCAATGCAGTCAATCCAAACTGACCTCTCTCTCTGTCGTTAATGGCATCAAAGCCACACAAAAATGGTTCTCTTCTCCAGGGAATGTTCTCTTCCAGGAAATGTGATACGCCGCCAGTACGCCGCCCAATTAACTTTCTGCGTGCATCTAGCTCTGGATTACTCAAAAGTAGATCAAGAATTTCTCTGATGATGCCACCCGGGGAGGGTCATCTAAAAGTTGATCCAGATACCAATAATGGTCAAACAAATGCTTCTTGCTGAAAATACAAAACTTGAGGGTTTACACTAAGTGTACATGTCTACATGATGCGGCTGCAAAAGGTACGATTACCGCAGATTGAAAGTTTCAATAGTCTTTTTTTAGAGTAAATGGGCTCGATTGGATTTGCCGAAAGTTACAAGCATCTCCACCCATTGCAGTCACAAAGTAGTGGTTTCTGTGCATTTATCGAACGTTCACATGTTATGAAAGCGTACTTACTCGATTAACGATGGTTTATTCTACAGGTTGCTTGCAGACGGTGTGGAAATGAAGAGCGCAAATATGATCATGCCACGCTTTAAGTGAACCGTCAATTTTAGATATTGCAGCACAGTTCTCCAAGCTACCTCCTTCAGGCTGACCCTGATCCCAATTCCTGTAGCTGACCTCTTCTCCTCCTTCCTTGCACTCCCAGCTACCCTCCATCATACGATCACTGCAGTCAATCCAAGCATTGCTTCTATCTGGAACCAATGCCAGGAGGAAATCATTTTCTTCCAGGGAGTGCGGCACCGCCAGGACGCCACCCAACTTTCTGCATTCATCTCTGGCGCTGGTCCACTCAACGGTGGACTCCGTCACCAAGTAGCAGGTGTTTCTCCACTTGTACCACTTTGTAGGGCAGACCCGAGGTGGAGCAGCGTTCCATGGAATACACGCCCCTGATAAGACCAGGGTGACAAAACAACTTGAGAAAAAAACAAAATTTATGAGAACTAGAGAATGCATTTTGTTGATGACGACTGTACCGTGTTCATAAATGATACAGGAAAAGAATGAATCCAAAATCAGGACCAGTTCTTAAAAAAACGTGTTCGTCAACTTGATCAACTGTGGCACGAACAATTCCAGAACTGCGAGTAAGATCAAGCTAGCTAATACAGATAGGCCTGGGTCTGTCACCTCGCAGTGTTGGTGTTCTGAATAGTTGGTGCACGCCATCAAAGGAACGTCAGGCAGGAATATATTAATCAATCATGGGAAGGTGATTTTCTAATAAACGAAAACGACGGTCTTCGCTAAGTGATCAGTCAGTGTCGTACTGGGGGCGGAGCAGGGCGCAAGTGCCACCCTGGCATTTTTTTCTCAGGATTTGAAAGGGCCAACATTCTAGAAACGGTGTTATATCACCTTTCTTCGGGACAAAAATTGTTTCACTAAAACGAAATAACTCGAGAGTTTACAGAGAAAAAGTCTCATGTTAATCCTCCATCCATTTTAGATCTGGATATTCCACTTCATTCAACTCAAGTATACCGGTATTGTCTTAAGCGAGTATTCAGAAAATGTCAATACCAAAATCTCAATATTTACTTTGTGCCTTGGACACTTGGCCGGTGAAATAATACAGAAGTTCCAAGAGTAGCTTTGAAAAGAACGATTGCAGCTTCATAATGACAGCAGGCTACAGAATAGGCCTGGGGCGAATCAAGGAAATATTCCGGGAGAGGTTCCTTGCCCCACACATTTTTAGTGGTGAGACTGGCAAATAGTTTATGGATTACAAATGTATATGACAAACTATATCAAATTAAATAAAAAGGTACCGCATTAAATTGCTACTGATGTAAAACAAAACAAAAAAATAAACCTTTACAAGATGTCATTTTATTTATTATGTCATTTATTTATTCGTTTCTTTTTGATGTCAGAGCGGGAGATGGGCGGTTGACCCACACACCCCCTCTCTGTGTCTGCGTCTGAGCTTGGATGTTACCTACCCCATCCCCTCAGTGGCGTAACTAGGGGAGGGGCACGTCCCCCAGTGGTTGCCTGTGCCCCCCCTTGAAATCTTTGAATAATGTCCGTTGTAATGTAGTTGCAGCCTAGTTTCTTGTGGTGCCCCCCCCGTGAAAAAACGTGTTCATCCCCGAGTGCCTCCAGACACTTAACCCTAGTTAAGCTACTCCCCCCCCCCACAAAATAAAAACTTTTTAAAGAGAAAAGAGGAGAGGAGGAAACACCAAATAGCAACATTTATCAGTCAGTAAAACTTTTATCTGTTTGCCAAATTTATGGAAAATTATTCAATCATTCTAATTCGCAAATATTACTGTGACATAGTTGCATTTTCATTTCGAGGTGTGTAGTTTGTACTTTAAATATAAGGAGAAATGAGTGAGAGGTATTTGTTATTACTCTTCATTGTTACTTTGGTGAATATTTACCTGTCACTGAATAATAGAACATTTTCTAATTGGTTTCATACGCTGAAGAGGAGTTGCACAAAAAAATCTAAGAAAACTTCATCCCGTGAATGATTTGAACTCGCCCCTGGACACATTTCCGCATGGATAAAGTACATTACATCACCAAGCTGCGTGCGGGAATGCAAGATGTTTTAAACCTATGTCCTCATGCGGACATTAAATCTACGGAACAGTGCAGAGGTTGTATAAAATATAGGCTTTCCAGGCCAATTTCGGAAAATGCGCAATTTAATTTGTAAAACAAAAATTCACTGTGGCGTAGATTTTGAGCGCGACTTAAAAAAATATAGCGGACTCTGCAGCATCCAGACTTCAGTTGCCTGATGAAGGCTTGCAGCACCAGCAGCCGAAACGTCGCTACCAGCAACACGACACCGCGAGTCATCGATTATCTTTTTTCCTGTATTTGTCATCCACCGCGGTGATTATGTTTATCTCTTCTTATAATTATCTCTTCTATTGACTTAAAACCTGGTTTCATATTCGCAATAAGAAGCATTCAACTTCGTTTTGAATCCTTCAAATAAATTAATTTGCATTACCGTACGTTTCGTATAAGCAAATAAGTGATTGGGATTTGGTTTGACTTATTCGTTGCCAGCTATTACAAATGAGCATTCTTATCCGCCCGAAATACGTCTTTTATTGTGACTCTTCGGAAATGAGTATTCATTTTCATTTGCTGTAATTCAAATGCGCAAAAATAAACGTTCAATTTGATTATAAGATACAAGGTTGCACAAATCTTGACGCCACTTTGGTAACAAATGTAATGTTACTCATCAAGGATTATCAATTGTTCACAAATTAAGGTCTTTATGAATTTTCTGTGCCTCCCTTTTTAACCATTGCAAGAAGGTATATGGGAACTCTAACTTTGCTGTATGATGTGATTGCGGCATGAACGTAGCACAAGAAGGAAGGTTCCTTTAGCCTCGGTGCTTAAATATAGGATTCGTACAATAGTCGGTATGTTTCCAAAGACAACGTAAGTGGTTTGTTTCAGTAATGAGTATTTAAACATTAAATAAATCAAACACCGTCTAAGAATTATAACGGGAAGAGTTCCACACATACGGACGCTAGTGATTATTCCCTACAGCTAGTGACCTAGGCTGTTAGCCGTCAGAAAGCAAAAATGTGTCCAGAAAAGTTCAATTTACAAAAAACAAAGAAACAAACAAAAACTAAAAACTTTACTTTGAAAAAAGAACTTTCAGACCAGTCTCACAGGGTTTGACACAATGTGTCAAGTGGCGTCCGTAGATGGAACTCTTTCCAATATAACTTTTGTTAGCATACCTTAAATAACACACAACGCGAAATCACCTGCACATTTTGCGAAATAGCTTGAGTTTAAATTAAGATGAATGTAAGATTGCAGAGTGAATTCAATTTCGCCCCAAAATAAATGTCGATATACTAAACTTATTATAGTTTAGCATTATAGGGGCTCGGAAATTGAACCCTGACTCCATACGACTAAATTCACCCACCGTTGAAATATAATTTTTATTTGTTAAATAGAAACGGAGATTTGAATGTTCGTTCTATTTTGCGCGAAAACGAAAACTGCTATTTCATGTAGACATTTTCCCAAATTGGCCGGGAAAACCTATATTATTATCGTAAAATGAACATTCCATGAATAGAAACTAGGCCTTTGTCTAATTGCTGGTAATCACGTAGTCGTGTTAACCTAGCTGTGCAGAAACAGTGACAGGCATTTGGTATCACTTGGAATTTGTTGATGTACAATGTAAAAATGTAGCAGAACACATGGAAATATGGAAATTGTTTATGATCGCACAATGAGGTGTAGGAAGTAGGAGTACATACGTGTACGTATGACTAATCAAGCAAGTTAATTCATTTTCCAAAAACTCTTGTCTTAAGTTGATGCCCAGCGTCATTCACTTATAAGAGCTGGATAAGATAATGCGCGACTTGTACTTGGACAAAAGACTTGTGACTTGCTTGTACAAGGACAAATTGACGGTCACTGAACAAATGACTTGTGACTTGACGCGGGTAACTGGACCAAATGACTTGTGACTCGACCTGGACTTGCAAGAACTGACTTGTTACCACGTCTGGTCTTAACCCTCTTAGAGGCCATAAACTTGAATGGTTAATCGTTCAAAATATTTGTCCTCCCCAGTCCCCCCTAAAAAACCCGCCCCCAAGAAGTGGTCGTGGATCCGCTCTCAGTCCACATACGGCTGTTTTTACCATCGTATTTCTTTTTTTTTATTTTCCCCCACATTCTTTGACCAAATGTTTTTTTGCGTAAATAATGTTTCAGTTTGTAGGATCCTTTGAAGAAACCCGTGTAATATACCTCTTAATATTATTGTGCTTTGATATGCACGTTGTTTGCGGTGTCGACATGTCAATGTCACATAAAATATATGTACACGCTTTTTGTTAGTTTTTAAACACGCAGCAGTCGTCTGAATTTTGTTTCGCCGGTGTCAAACATCCACTCAATTTTAGAGTACGAGTGTAAACAGGATACCCACGAAAACTTTCCCGCGTAAACCCCTGCTCATTCATTAAAAGCGTCCTTTAAACCCACGTGTTTTCATGCGTGCGTGTAAACACAAAATTGTGTTCGTGTTGCATCAGGCTCTAAGCAATGAAGTATTCACTGTAAACATTTCTTATTTAGCACGCGAAGGGAACGAAAAAGAAGAAGTGTAAATTATTGTTCAATTACGGAGCCCAGCAGAGTTTACAAGAGTGACTTTAATCACACCTGTCGATGTGAGTATTGTGCTGAAACAGCTGACGTTACCTGGTTAGGTAGTTAACGTTACTAGCTGACTAGTACACGTACATGTACATGTGGTAGTAGTAGGACCAGACTGGGTGTACTGTCCTTGCTCTATGTTTTACACGTAGGCTGGCGTAGACATGATAGAGACTCATAACATAGAGGAGGGCAAATATCGTTAATCTGTGCATGGTCAGGTTTGGTATATTATACGTGTATGATTAGCGCTGTCTTGAACCGAATTGGGGAAATTTATTCTTTTATTGTGGGCCTACTAATACTGCGTAGGCTGAGTGATAGTATAATCAACTTAGAACATAGGCCTACCCGTACCCCCCCCCAACTGTGGGGTCCGACAACGGACCCCGTTCCACTCTTAATTCTGGGAGTACTCAGAACATGCAGAAGGGAGTAGACCTACAATAAATTAATTTTGTGTAAGGTTCAAGATTGCGCTTTAAGTAGCATATGTCATGTATGTTGGCATGGTAGGGCTAATCTGTACTTCCTATCAACATTTTAGATGACAAAAACTCTGTAGACATATCCAGTGCAATTTTACATGTGCAGGTTTTACAAGTTTGCATATATTTATAATTTGCTCAGGCAGACTAGTGATTAGACTAGCACTGTCTTGGAAAGTGTGCAGTTTTGTGCCTCGAACTGTGCAATTTTTAAAAGGAGTCATGATAGTTACCATTTGACCGGGCGGGATGATGGGATACAGGCCTAAACTGGTTCCCATTCTCTCGTAAGTCCCCAGCTGTCTCAGTTATATTACTTTTATTGGCTAGATTCTCAGTACAAAGAAAGTTATTTCCCCTGATTATTTGTTTAGTCTGGGATTTTAATTTTATTGGAAATTTTTTTTCTGATTCATCAAAAAGCTCAAAACTATTGGGCAAAATTTTGTGTGACACATCATGGCTGGCATGTACATGAACACGTTCCCCGTAAGTATACGTGCCACGTGCAGCACAAATCACACATAAAAATTGACTCTTCAATTAAATTTGTGCAAAACATGTAGTTGATGTCAGTTTCCCCCTAGGGGTCCGACATCCGCCCAGCTTGTGGGAGCGGGACAGACGTCGGACCCCACAGTTATGGGGGTGGATGTCAGTCTCTTACATAGGACTGTTCCTTGTGATTGTGTACCATGCAGTTTTTAGTGCTGTGCACAATTTTAGTGGCACTACGTACATTTATCTGTGATTGTGCAAAATTAAAAAATTGCAGAAATTTTGTGCTCAACGGATCAACTTTGTGGCTAGTAATGTGATGTACATGTAGGTAAATCCCTCCTCCACGGTGAAATACAGTGTTGTATTTGAGTCCATCACAAGTCTTTTCACAAGTCCCTTCACATGTCCCTTCACAAGGCCAGTCACAAGGCCAGTCACATGTCCCTTCACAAGGCCAGTCACAAGTCCCTTCACAAGGCCAGTCACGT